TCAATCAATTAATCGAATTGATTATGGCAATCCACCCACCCATCAATGTATCAATTAATCAAATTGATTATGGCAATCCACCCACCCATCAATCAGCCGTTGAACGGACCCAACAACACTGCCGCTCTTGTTCGCATTTTCCAATTTTTGGAAAGTCTGAGAAAAGACCACTCCGTCGTTCTAATGGTCGATTTCACCTTTGGAATTGGTGGCCCAAACTATTGTCCCCCCCCCTTCCCTCCCCTCCCTCTCTCTGTGTACCCGAGTCCTTTGCAACCGTGTAACATACCTTTTACGTTTCTTCTTCTCCTTTTCCTCTCTTCTGTTTTTTTTTCTTCTTGATTCTTTAATTTTGTTGTCATCATCGAGTTAACGATTTGTTCTTTTTTTTGCTTTTTTTAAATTTTGCATTATCATCGCAACTTTACGATTATGTCGTTGTAGTGATTATCATATTCCCATCTCCCTGCCGGCGTTTTCTGAATGCTGGAATGCACGAATTCCCCATGTGTAAATGCTTGCATCCACGTTTAAATGCATGCGTCCACCACGTGTAAGTGCATGCATTCACGTGTAAGTGCATGCATCCACGTGTACATGCATGCACGGATCTACGTTTAAGTGCATGAATCCACATGTAAGTGCATGTACGGATCTACGTGAAGGTCCATGCATCCACGTGTACATGCATGCATGGATCTACGAGTAAATGCGCATCCACGTGTAAGTGTGTGGATCCACTGTACATGCACGGATCCATGTGTACATGCATGGATCCACGTGCAACTGAATGCATCCATGTGTAAGGGCTATGCATCCACATGTACATGCATGGAACCACGTGTAAGGGCTATGCATCCGCATGCATGCATGGACGTGTGAATGCACGCATCCATGTGTAAATGCAACATTTACAGAAATGCAGGTATCCAGGTCTAAATGCATGCATTGTAATTCGAATGCATGCATCCACATGTAAATGCATGCATCCACGTGTAAATGCATTCATGCATGCTTGTTTGTAACAGTGTAACACTACAATGTATGTTCATATGTATATAGGACTTCTGGGAGTCGTCAATGTTCGTTGCCGCACAGGAAAAAATGAAGCGCATGGCTGTGCCCACCACACAGTTCCCATCTTTATGAACTTTCACGGCCATGCTCATCAGGAGGAGGTTAGGTTGAACCATGAACACCTTATTCCAAACTTATTACCGTAATAAATTTAAATTACTCATAATTAAGATATTTAACTAAATAAAATGATGTGCATTTTTTTTTTTTTTTTTTTTAGGTGGGGGGGGCAGAAAAAAAGTACATTTAATGATGATGATGATGATGATGATGATGATGATGATGATGATGCGCATTCTTGGTCCGATGCAGTCGTGAATGATGGGCTCCCCTTTTTTTTGTGGGGTCCCGTTGTGCTTGGGGGGAAGACGGTGTAGTGGAATTTCTGCCTGTATGTACTACGGATACACATTTTTTTAATGGGGTTCCGTTGGCGAACGAGTGTCTGTGACGCATGCCAGGCATACAATTGGGACACCAGACATGACAGGCATGCAATAAGAAGGATGGAGAATCTCTCAACATCCAGTGAAAATAAGAAAAAAGGAAAAAAAAAAAAAAAAAGGATGAAGAATCTCTGCCATCTCCTCTCTCTTCCCTTGGGATACAAGGTCCCTTATGTCTGGATTCTGTGTCGCCCCACTGCCAAAAAAAATAAAAAAATTGACCCCTTTTTTGGTGTCGCCCGGATACCCCCCAAGCGGGTCACCTCTCGTGCAAGCTCAGCCGGGGCGCCTGGCCGTGCGGCCCGGGCCGGGGGACTCTGGTAACATAGTAAAGTAAGAAAAAAAAAGAAAAAAAAAAAGAAAAAGAAGGCTGCAGAATCTATGCCATCTCCTCTCTCTTCCTTTGGGATACCAGGTTCCTTATGTCCAGATTCTGTGTTTCTGGCCATCGACGTAATGAGTACTCACCATAATCTGTGGTCTGGAGTGAAGGGAGCTCGTTGCCTCAGGGGGAGAGAGGGGTGGGAACAAGTCATAGCAGCGACACACGTTTTTTTTCTGTTTTTTATTTTTTGAAAATCATTTATACCTAGAGGCCGAGGCCCCACTAGTGGACTATATATTATGTCCCCTAGTCCTTGTAGGGAAGTTAGGGGACATAATGTATAGTCCACTAGTGGGGCCTACACTAGTGGACCCTCCCTGCCCGAAATGGGCCCGCGGCCGCGCGTTGGTGGATATTTCACAATGGCATGTGGAGTAATGGAAGTCTCGCAATGTTGACTTTCATTTAACTTATCTATTATTACTGGAATATTCGAATTATTGTCATATTCTATCGATTAAGTACTCTATCAATCATTAAGTACTATATCTATCTTTTATCTCTATTCTTTATCAAACAACCCTACTAAGGCTTATCGGCCACGGCACCGAGTCTCGCATCTGCAATGGTCCACGTTAGTGTTTTTGCATTGCGAAGCGTGAGACGTTTGATGTAAAATTCTGACGCGCGATCATTTGCATCGCGAAGCGTGAGACGTCCGATGTAAAATTCTGACACGCCTGACGTGTCTGACGCGTTTGGCGTTTGTTTTTTTCTCGGGTGAGTCCGGTTTCGTTTCGTTTTTGCGTGCTCTTTTATGCTTTGGGCCTCGCTGCACTACTCTTGAAATACAGACAGATACACGGTCATGATTTTTGTTTTTTGTGGATGTCGAGAGTAGTGCAGCAAGGCCCTTTGTCGTTGGCTGTCGGTGGGTGCTTGGGGCCGTTCGGTGGGTGCTTGGGG